TACTGGTATTTCAGTACGAATACCTATATTTTTTTTTTTTGGTACTTGCCGATACTAATTAGCGGAAGTTCCATTAAAGAAAAGCCACCTGGCTTCCTGATTAGCCGGGAAGCTGTCCCAATGCGACGAGAAAGCATGGAGCCAGCTTCCTGATTGGCTGGGAAGCCAGCTCCATGGTCCCTCGTCATGAGATGATGAGGGAGCAGGAAGCCGGCTTCCCGGCCAGTCAGGAAGCTGGGCAGCGTGTAATGATGCACTTACCGGCTTCCTGATACCGGAAGTATCAGGTTAGGCATTGGAGCATTTGGACGAGTACTCACCAAAATACTCGGCATCGGCACCGATACTGGTATCGGTATCGGTGCATCCCTAGTATGAAGTATCCTACAGCAAGCCATCTTAATTCAATCTCAGTACATATTAGTACTACAAATACTACAATCTCACATTTACTTTACTAGTTTGTATTGAGATTGTACTCCCATGATGGGAGTGAGTTTGGAGTGGTGGCTACTTTACAACACACAGGGACCACAGGGAACAAAAGTAGCCACACTCCAGAAGGAAGGACAGTGTCAGTATGAATTCAGAGATGATTTGAGGATCTACAGCTGAGTGATGCATAAATAAGATACATTTTTGGTAATAGTTAAGGTACTTGAATGTATTTTTAAGATTTAACTCCAGAGTTTAGTGTCCCTTGAATGCTAATGCATGTATAAGTACGTGTTAATGTGCCCTGAGACATTTTGAGAGCAAATATTTATTTAGATGAACGATCATTCTTTAGTGTGCCCATAAATTTTGCATAGGAATGAACTAATTCCACTATTTTTTGTAGTATCCTGGGACATTCAGAATGTTTTTGGGCACAATCTCTGATTTTCACCGGACACTCCTGGTCTATATAGTTAGTCTTTTGTTTAAGTTGCATGTTCCCTGGGGAGATGAAATTTGTGTCCTGTGATTAGTGTTGCTCTGGGGATGTATGCTGGGCACATATACACCTGCAGAGTACAATGCAAGTGAGAATGTTTGTTTATCTATTGTTAAGATCAGGCCATTGAAGTCTGGTCTGGTCGCTAGTTTTTTAGCATGCTTTTACGCTGTGTTGTGAAATGAAAGCGCCAAATGTCACAAGGAGATTTGTGCCTGCTAAGCTTTTGTTTTAGGGATACGACCATCTGGAGAGAGAGCTTAGTTTCTAGCTGAAATGATTTCTACCTGATGGAGTTGAATATGCAAAGTCTGCCATATACATGCATCATTTTTGTGTCTCTTTATATTTGTGATACTAGACAAACTAGAGTCAGAGGGGATACCTTCTATCTGTAGAGGTTAATGACATGGCAATGGTCAAGTTATCCTTTTGGCTAAGCCAGGGGTAGGCAACCTCAGCCTTCCAGCTGAGATGAAACTACAAATGTCATTGTGCCTCTGCCTCTAGGGGTCATGCTTGTGACTGTCAGAGTCTTGCAATACCTCATGGAGTGCCAAGGTTGCCAACCACTGAGCTGAGCTTTTCCTAATCTCAGGCTGGCAATACGTGAGAGGTGAAAGATCTGACAGATCAACACATTGCTGAGACGTGATAACATATAGAGGTATCTTTCTATCACTAGCAGTGACTGGCCAGGTGTTCATAGAAACGGGTCACTGTGACTGGTCGTCTTTACAGGAAATAGGTGCCTTCTCAATAAAAAAAAAAAAAATATTCTTTAACCACCTGCTGTCCCGCCTTTGTAATTAAACGGCCTGACAGCGGCTTCTTGAATGCGGGTGGGCGTTTTTAAACGTCCCATCCCGCCCCGCTCGTGCCTGCCGCTAGGTGGGAGCCCGGGACCAGCACAGCAGCTCTGCGGCCGGAGATCAAACGGAGCTCAGTACACGAACTCCGTTTGATCTCCTCCTCTTCGGAATGCAGGCAGTGATGTGTATTACATCACTTCCTGCATTCAGTATCACTCTCCGGTACAGAAACCGGAGAGAAGCTGGTGAAGCAGGTGTTTGATTCATCAGCTTCTCTGGGGGTCCCTAGGTGACATTAGGGGTCTTAAAGACCCCTGATGTCTCCATAAAGAGGACCTGTCACTGAAAATTGGCTATCACAAAGGGGGCTTGTTAGTCCCCTATGTGATAGCAATAAAGTTAAGTAAAAAAAAAAATGTTTAAAAGAATGTTACAAAAAAAAAATTACAAAATTAAAGTCACATATAAAGGTAATTAAAAAAATGTAAACATTTTTTTAAGTCCCCCGCCCCCCACCCCCCACATACACATGCAAACATGCGTCGAGTGCGCCTAAGTGCGTAAACGACGATTGCATCCATTACGCTGCACATGTTACGTATCACCGCGAACTTCGCAGTGAGAGCAATAATTCTAGGGCCATCAATCACTGATGATGCTAACCTGATGAGCGGTGAAAGCTTTTAAAGCGTCGCCTGTGGCCAATTTCGGGTATGGTAGTTTTTGGTTGTTCGCGGATGCACGCAATTTTAAAGCTTGGCATGTTTGGTGTCTATTTACCCGACGTGACCCCGTCTCTTATATTTTGCCAAAAATTCGGGTAATAATAGCTGTTTTATAACATAACGCAGGGAGAACAGGTTTTTTTCCCAAATTTTTGGTACTTTTTTCATTATATAGTAAAAAATAAGAACCCCGGTGGTGATTAAATACCACAAAAAGAAAGCTCTATCTGTCCCTAAAAATGGCATAAAATTCATTTCTGTACAGCGTTGTATGACTGAATAAATGTCAGTCAAAGTACTGCAGCGCTAAATACTGAAAAATGGCGTGGACAGGAAGGGGGTATAAACACTCCGGTCAGCAAGTGGTTAATCTTATGGAGCAGAGGAACAACTAAAGCTAAAAAGATCTGACCAGCAACAGTTCTGTATCCAGGAGTTTATGATTTCAGTCCATTAGATGCAGTTTGCTATTTTGTCCAAGCCCTAAAGAAAGGAGATTGTTGCATCCCTGGAACACATTCACTGCCTTTTTTTTCCTGTGGAATTGTGAAATTAATGAAGGAATTTTGGACTCTTGAGATGATTGATCGGCACTCTTTATTAAATAGCCGTGAATGTGCGGAATCCACCGGATTATCGCGCTTGCACTATTTCGCGGGCCACGCGGTTTCGTACCGTGCGCCCCCCGCAATGGTGTGAACAATGCACATTGAAGTGCATTGAATTCCCTGTTTAGAGCGGCTCCGTGCGAATCCGTACAGCCGAATACATGCGGACAGCCGCTCAGGCGTGAATGGAGTCTGCAATGTGGAAACATTGTACATGTGTTTACATAATATTCTGTGTCAACTGAACATGGAGTGATACATTTTTATTTGCACTGCTTCCCCGTTTTTTGTTTCCACATCATAAATGTATTAGATTCACTAACTACTATTATTAAAAAAATGGTCTATAGTTTTAGCTTTTCCAGGATATGTCCTCGCTGGAGGTATCTGCTCTGTGCCTGTCTCCATGCACCTAAAAAACAAATGGTCACCCAAGAAAACCTATCTTGAAAGAAACGTTAAAGCTGTCATTGCCAACTTCTTCTACAAATGCTACATGCATGACAGTCATACTTACTTCCTAGCCTGAATATTTTGCCACAGACACTAAAGGATACACATAAGGAATTCTGTTTTTTCTCTGATTTTGTTTATCAGTAACGTAGGAAGTATCAGACCCCATGTTTCTCTCAGTATAGGTTTACTTTAGGAAACCTGGCTAGAAATATAGTTGTCTGAGGGTGGTCTGCAAGCTTTGACCCCCTTCTTGTGTCTATAAACAGAATTATTCTCAAGAATTTAATTAACTATGTTGCAACATACATTCAGATATCTGTCATTTCCTTTGCTTTTTCTCACCACACAAAGCATTTGAACTAATAAACCATGCTTATAAGAATATGTATACCAGATGGTGCATGGTAGTCAGATTTAATAAATACTGTTGTGACTTATGTCTTAAATCGGACCTTTACTCATATCTTTAAAATAATAACAAGCACACCTTTAGAAATATTCAGTAATGACAATCTACAAACACATACTTCTAGATAATTGCCGGCTTTGTATTCTTTGTATACCTTATTTCTATTTTCTTCCCCAGTCTTCTGACAGTGGCCATGTTTACTAAGGGCAGATTACTAGCTCTCCTTTTACTTGTGTATCCTGAATTTCTGGCACATGTGACTAGACGTGACTAGGACATGTGACCATGCATATCATCTCAGGGGAGGAAAATGCCTTTCCTCCCCTGAGATTACAGATGAGATTTCCCAGCAATGCTCTGCTGATAAGGCAATCCCAGTGTGCATTGCTTTGATAAACTGGAGTCATTTGCCCTTTCAAAGCAGGACGTGAACGCTCTACAAGTGTAAGTATTTCACAGCGTTTTACACCTGACATGTCTGGTTTTATTAGGGATGCACCGATACCAAGTAAAGTACAAGTACAGATACTTTTCGAGCTCCAAGACTAGACTAGAGTAAAATTCAAAAGTTGGGAGGCAGCTGTCATTTGTAAGGAGCACACGGAGCTCCTGGGATTTGTACATCTCTGTTTTAATGTATGATTTTGTTTTTATAAATATAAATAAAGGGATGCACCGATACCAGTTTTGCGAGTACAAGTACTGATACTTGCCCAAGTACTTACAAGTACGAGTACTGATGCATTTTTGTTTATTGTCATGTGACAGTTTTATTTTCTAAAACAAAATCGACTAATGATTTCAGGACAGTGGTGGAGCGCCAGAGCCAGGTCCCAGCTGCAACCCTGGTAGTTCTTGTGAAAATGCCAAGTATCGCCATTGGTACTCGAAACTTATCGGTGCATCCCTAGTTATTATGAATCATCATACATAGAGGGATGCATTGGTAGAATTTAATTTTTGAGCACAAAGGTCCGCTTTGAAGATAGTGTTACAAGAATGACCCTGGTTGTAAGTGGTAAATACATCCTATCTGTTTGTTCTTTTTCCTAGAAACATAGGCAATAAAGATGGCTCCTGCTTTAGACTGGGGAAAGCTCATGAAAGTGGATCCAGATGTTCTTCCGAATCAAGAAAGATTAGCAGAAAAGATGCTGAAAACCTTATCGCAGGTTAGTGAGCTCTGCCGATGTCTGCATTCATTTAGAGGCGCTCCCTTCAGTTTAAGGCAGATTAAGGCTGCGAGTCATCTTTTCACTGTTCCTAAACTTAAAGTGGTCATTAGATTATTAATTAACTGTACAACTAATTTGTTTTACAGGTGACTAGCACAGACTTGCATGGGGAGACCAATGAAAATTTGATGCAGCTTTTTCGAATTACACAGTCTTTAATGAAGGTTTGCACGTTTCCTTGATTTTGTTTGCTTGTATAAAATCTCTCATATTCATTTATGCAATCTGTTTAGTACTGCTAGATATTGTAAAACTAGTTTCATTCTGGGTTAAGCTGATTGGTTTAATCCTTTCGCTACCGGGGTCATTGATTAGATACCCAGGACAAATTTAATGTTGGCAAGCATCAGTTAACTTAAAGGAGAACTATGGGGTTCTGGCTTGTCCCCATAGTTCTCCTTAGGGTAACAGGAGGACACAAACTAGCGTCCTCCCGTCACCCTAGGCTCCGTATACCGCGAGCAGAAGCTTGCGGGATACTGAGATGCCGCAGCTGAAGCGGATCCCGACAATTATGTCTGGATCTGCCCAGCTGGGTGACTGACAGCTGGCTCTGCCTATCTAGAGGCAGAGCCAGCTGTATCCGCCCCCTCCCCCGTCCGTTCCGCCAGTCAGCGACGGCAGAGCGGAGAGGGGGGAATCCAGTCCCTCCCCTGTCACGGCAGAGAGTTGTGACAGGATCGAGAGGTGAGCGAACGCCGTTATGTGTATTTTTTTTATTATAGGCTGACAACTACACAAAGATGTTAATTGATTTCTATTTCTGTAATACTGTAATTTGTATCTGACAATTGCAGTCTTAGCCAGATAATCACTCGCATCTAAAATACCATAGATGACATAGTGACCACATAATCAGGAACCACTCTGATTTGGTTTTGATTGTCAGTGGAGACTGGAACTGTCAGTGACAGCTCGGAATCAGGGCCACCAACTGTGCAAAATGTTACTGAGTAGCTGTTAAAGGCAAGACTTTATTAACATATCTCTAGTAGAAGACATTATGCTGGGGACCGCTCTGAACCATTTCTAGAGATGTACCAAAACTTTTTTTCTTTTTAATTTTGTACAGAAGAGGAAGGGTTAGACTTTCTGTTAGATTATTTTTTGTTATTGCTATCTATGTTCCTACTGGATGTCACAATGGCAGGAAGTAAGAAGGAAGGAAAATGGAAGTTAGAACTGTCAGGTTTTTATTGCTCTCTGTGACTTCTTGTCATGGTGACACCCTCACTATCTAACTTCTTCTCCTGGAGTCAGGAGGACAGGAAGTGAAGGGAAACGCACTAGAAAGAAAAAAAAAATGTTTTGGTTAGAGTTGGGCTTTAGCATTAAACGTTTTGTCCATTCTTGTTAATGGATTTTCTTTGAACTTGCAGATGAAATCTCAAGAGGTAGACCTTGCCTTGGAAGAGGCAGAAAAAGCGGGGGAAGAGCAAGCCAAAACTGGTAAGAAGGCCTTGCAAATTCAATTAGTTTCTTGGGAATATCTGCCATGGAGGGAACTTCATTTCTGTAGGTTTAGCTATAAGGGAAAAACAGCAATGTGGAACTGTAGATTGGCTGTCAGTTGTGCAGGACTCCTATCGCCCGATGCCCGGGACATTCAATTCCGGGTGCCAGGCAGGTGGGTTTTTTCTACATTTAGCCCTGCTGCGGACAAGCAGGGCTTAATGTAGAGCAGCGGAGCCGCCAGTCATTTTGTACAAGTGATCTGAGTGGCTGTATAGCTGCCCAGATCATTTGTAGCAGCCTGCCTGTCTGCCCCCCTCCCGACTGTAGTTTTTCTCTTCTGGGGGACCCAGGACCATGGCGAGTGGCTTCAGAATGGAGAGCGGGGAGAAGACCGGAGAACGTCTGTTCTCCGATCTGCGTTGTGTAATCAGTGAGACAGGAGCGCTGTACACACGGCCTTTCTGTCTCAGCTGTCACAAGCCGGGCTACACAGGAAATCGAGCACAATGCCGCGCTCGATCTTCTGTACTTGAGGGCAGGCTCTATAAAGAGAACCTGTCACCTCCAAACGCTATCACATAGGGGCTTATTAAATAAAGTTAACTGAAAAATAATAATTAAAACCAATCCCGCCACCCCTGCCATTTGCATGCAAATAAACGCATGTATAGGGCATTGTGTGTGTGTGTGCTGCCCCCATTCCACTGTGTGCTATATTGTGCAGCTGGGCAGCAGCACTAACACTAAAATGCAAGGTCCACTCTTTAGGTCTGCCCCGCCACACCCCTGTAAAAAAAAAAAAGTATATCTCTTCAAAATAAATTAAAAAAAAAAAACCTCAAAACACTGGATTCATTGGAGGGGGCATGCCGTCACTACACTTCTGGTCTTACATTACTTTGCCTCTGGACCCTCCAGATAGCTAAGAAACATGTGGGATGATATGGGAATTTTATGTGCCATATTCAATTTGGAGGAGGAACATAGTTCAGAGATCATAATATGATGATAAGATTGGGCAGGTTTCAGCATCAGGGGGGTTTGGTGAACTAAAGCAACATATGAATAAAAAATAGCAGCCGATGTGCAGGTAGGATAACCCCCTTCCTCCCCAATGTGTATTTTGCTTGTCATATACAGTATATAACTTTTTTTCTTTAGTAATACTTAATCATAATCAATTTATGATCGAAAAATGCAAAGCGCTAGGGGTAAAATGTGCAAAGGAGCGAAGGGTAGGTTTTCGGGCAAAAAACGGTTTAAAAACCTATTAGGTGTATAACTGTGTATAAAACAGAACTAAATCACTATAAATAAATAGAGAAGCTCCAACCATATAGAATATACAATTAGAATCAGTAAAAATCAAGTCCAATAGATTAGATAGTTAATAAGTTATATATTCTATATGGTTGGAGCTTCTCTATTTATTCATAGTGATTTAGTTCTGTTTTATACAGTTATACACCTAATAGGTTTATAAACCGGTTTTTGCCCGAAAACCTACCCTTCGCTCCTTTGCACATTTTACCCCTAGCGCTTTGCTTTTTTCGATCATATTAGGATTTATCCCTCTTCAGAGCAGCTTCGGGTTTTAATTATTCTTTCACATTTTATTCACATATTCATTTTTAATTCATTTATTCCTATATTACCACCCCCCTCCAGAAGCGCAGATTAACTTGTTTACATAATCAATTTTATGTTTGATTTTCTATTGATATAAACAGAAAACGTACTAAGGAATAAAGTCAAGCAACTGGAAAATGAAATAGAGGTATGTTAGCTACATTATAATTAAAATATTATATAATATTTGTGTTAAAACATCACTGCTACATTTTTCTATGTAGTTTTGTTCTATAATTATTATATTTGTTTTTGTATTGAAGAGCAATACTACTATTGGTTAAAGTATATTTTGTGACCACTGGCTACAAATGTTGCATTTTTAACAATTATTTGCATGGTATCAACGGGACTCCTCTATTGTTTCCTGGTCTTCATCTTAGTAAAAAAGTTTTAGTTGTTTAAGTTGGTATTGCAGGGTTTCTTTGGACTGTGTCCATTCTGAAAGCTTTAGATACCAGCGTCAGCAAAAACCTTGTTTTCTCCCGATCTGAAGACTGAAGGAAATCATGTAAATAATGCAAGAATCATGGATTAGTTTGTGTTTTTGTAATACGTTAGAATTCACCTTTGTGCCATACATTTGCTTTTTGTGCCTGGATCAATTTCATTAACTGGATCTGATTACTCTAAACAGGTTCGTACAATAAAATCTGCATCCACATATTGGAAACTGGATTCATAGATAAACAGTTCTGTTAAATGTTTTCATTAAATGTGTTGTATAAGCATTCTTGTGACAATTTTCTTACTTTCCAAAATGAAAACAGCCCAACATTCTTCTTTTACTTTTTTTTTTTTACTGTTATCTGTAAATTGTGAAAAAAATGGTTACATTTAAAAGAAAAAAAGTAGAATTAGTCTTGAGGAGGGGCGGGGAGCTTCAGTGGTGTAGTAGGGTGGTAACAAGACACTCTAAATGTTACATGTCACCATTCCTCTTGTTGTCTGATCTAATTGTACCTGTGCATAAAAGTTTCTGTAAGCTTTTTATTGCTTCCTCTCTCATGTCACAGCTCTCGAACAATCACCTAAGACTCATCTCCAACCCCATTCCTTCTTACTTCTTACCTTTCCTCTGTCTGTGTTCAGTAATATACTTAAATTCTCCCCACCTTGCTCCAAAACAGAGTTATCATCTTTTTTATGGCCAGTGACATCATCAGTCAGGTTGAAAATGCTCCATGTTTAGGCCACCTGGAGGAGGGTTCTGCAGTGCTCCCTACATTGCGTCCTTGTGTACAGTGAGCTGAAGAAACACATTTCCCAGTGTCTTTCAGTCTAAACATATTTTCTGTGGGCAGGCCCCGAATGGTGAGCAGTAACAGGGTAGTGTGAACTTCCCTTGCACTTTAATATAATATAAATTCAGAAAGTAATGTTAAAATGAAGGGCAATGGTCATTGATGAGCCCTTACAGGAGACAATCCCTTTGTGTAAAGCTCGAGGATGGTTCTGGCTATTTGTGCACCTACATAAAAAAGGCATCTCCAACCTTTTCCCTATACATGCTCCTTGCTGTTGGTTTAGCAGACTTGTGTGCTGGCTTGTTATTGGTTAGCCTTCTGCACCCATCTAGCCTATTGATGCTAGATGAGCGTGGATGGGGAGAATGGTTACCCTGCTGCACATAAAGCAGGCAGAGGTGCTCAGTCTCCTGGACATGAAATGTAGGTTTGATAGTCTCTGAAAGTGGATTTTCTTTAAGGATTACAGAAGACGAAAGCAGAAGATCTGTAATGCAAGTACACAGATTGACAAGGGAAAAGATTAGCAGCACTCACATTAATAACAGAACTCAGACTGGAGGTCTACATGCTAGTAGAAAATAATAAAGGAGAATAAATGAAGGAAGGGATCTGCTGTCTAGGGGTTCCTAAAAGGTTTAGCTTAACCACATCAACACGTGCTACGCCTATGTATTTGAAAGTTTACCCTTAACCAACCATTTATTTCTGTCTGTAGTCATTGTATATGCTGTCTGCTAGTTACTTTTTTTTCACCCATTATTCATGTTGCCTTTTATTATCTGCAGATGGCACAGCTGTCCACTGGAACTAGAGATTCACGTTTTTTACGGGAAGAAATTCGTCAGCTTGAGGAACAGCTGGGACAGAGAGAGCGGGAACTGAAAGACATGAGAAAGGAGCTTGAAAAAGAGAAACAAGTTAACGAACAAGTAAGTTGTATGTAAATTATTTCTGGCTGTAGATATTGTATACTAGTAAATGTAGCTGTTACATGGATACCTCATGCAGTTTAGAGCTCATCCACATCAATGCAGGTGTTAATGCAATATAAGACTACAGAATGACCACAGTTGTCAATTTCCTTCAAGACTGTGGGATCTGAAGTGCTGACCCCTCCCTTCTTGATGTAAATTCCTACCTGCGGCCCTTTCCACTTGTGTCCACTTCTTGATGAAAGTGGACACAACTCTGCAGCTCTCCTTGCATATATTTTCCTTTGGCTCACACTGCATTGTACATGCTGCATTGAGGGGCTGAAAGCATACAGCGTGAAGTGATTTGCATACATACAGTGCAGAGAAAGGCATTCTTTGAAAAAGATTTGCTTTTTAGCCCATTAGTGTAATTTGAGCCATTTATGTCATGAAGCAAAATAAGTTATTCTGGAGCCAGAAATACAACTCCATACAAGAGTTACTGACAAACCCTATAATTTCACACTGCACATTGTGCTCTAAACTGCTGTCCATGCTTTATCTTAAACTCTCTTTATTAATTCATATTAAAGAGTAAAAAAATGTTGGACGGTGGTACTAAAGCTTAGCGCAGGACAACCTTAAATTGTGTTTGCTCTTTTGCAGCCAAATTGGGATAACACCTACTTTTGATTTGTTACATGTTCCCATTCACATAGCATACCTTTAAAAACAATAACATTTGCAAAGCCAAGATGGCTGTTTGGATCTGTTTGAAAATAGTGAACAGGGAAAGGTATAAAGGAGTGGGCAATATACAAAACAGTACAAATGGAGCCCCCAGCACACGTTTCATTAAACCAGCAACAAAATCTAATTACTCAGATTCAAAACAGAGGTGGCATAAATTTGAAAATACATATGGAAACCACTCTGCTGCATCAAGGTCCCTCTCATGAATGTAAAGTATCTAAGATCCCAACTTTAGAAACATATAGCAATGCATAAACAGAGACTAGGGTCACCAAAGAAACTCAATTGGGGGCAAATTTTTCGGAGGTGCCTTAACCACTTGCTGACCGGGGTGTTTAGACCCCCTTCCTGACCAGGCCATTTTTCAGTATTCAGCGCTGCAGTACTTTGACATTTATTCCGTCATGCAACGCTGTACTGAAATTAATTTTATACCCTTTTTTTGGGGACAGATAGAGCTTTCTTTTGGTGGTATTTAATCACCACTACATTTTTTTTTTTTACTGTATAATAAAAAAAAGTACCGAAAATTTTGAAAAAAAATCTGTTCTCCCTACGTTATGTTATAAAACATTTATTATTACCCATTTTTTTGGTAAAATATAGAAGACGGGGTCACGCCGGGTAAATAGACACCAAACATGTCAAGCTTTAATATTGCGCGCACCCGTTAAATCTCAAAAAACTACCATACTCAAAATTGACCATAGCCGGCGCTTTAAAAGCTTTTACCACTCATCAGTTTAGTGTTATCAGTGATTGATGGCCCTAGAATTATTGCTCTCATTCCGACGTTCGCGTCGATATGTAACATGTACGGCGCAATGGATGTAATTGGCGTTTTCGCACGTAGGCGGGCTTGACGCATGTTTGCATGTGGTGGCGGGGGACTTTTTTTTTTTTATTGCTTTGATATGTGATTATTTTAATTTTTTTTGTAACAAATTTTTTTAAACCTTTTTTTTTTCCACTGAACTTTATTGCTATCACATAGGGAGCAAGCAAGCTCCCTATGTGATAGCCAATTTGCAGTGACAGGTCCTCTTTTATAGAGACATCAGGGGTCTTAAGACCCCTAATGTCACCTAGGGACCCCCAGAGAAGCTGATGAAGCAGAGACCTGCTTCACCAGCTTCTCTCCGGTTTCTGTACCGGAGAGTGACACTAAATGCAGGCAGTGATGTAATACACATCACTGCCTGCATTTAGAAGAGGAGAGGAGATCAAACGGAGCTTGTGTACTGAGCTCCGTTTGATCTCTGGCCGCAGAGCTGCTGTGCTGGTCCCAGGCTCACACCTAGCGGCAGGCACGAGCCCTCAAGAAGCTGCTGTCCGGCCGTTTAATTACAACGGCCGGACAGCAGGTAGTTAATGGTGCACTGTGACTTCCACTTATATTTGCAAATGTATGCAACTATAATCTCTTTGTAATTAAGTTGGCCTTAGAGAGCTATCTTGCCAAAAATGACAGGGGTTGATAAATCTGCCTAACCACATTACAGTGCTGCCGGGATCTGTGCTGTTTTTTCTCTGCGACTGATCTGATGTGTAACTGCAACACATGGGCTATAACAAGAAAAGAGGAAATATGCACTCAGAAATTTCCCATGCTGGAAAATCTTTGCATGCAATAACAAATGTATGTGACAGCTGGATGGGCTACACACCATGAACATCAAGCATTTCTCATAAATGAATACTATAACTATTCCAGGATTGTCAGCAACATTGACTCTGTCACACAATTCTGGCATAATGATTTAATAGTGGGACTGTCTTAGGAAATTATAATATCATTGTTTTGTAATGTTGGTAATTGCTTCCACATTTTGGGAAAACCGCCTTGTTATATAACCATTTTTAAACACCCTTGCAGATGGTTTTCAGGTTTCAAAGTTTTATTAACCCATGCAGAATTGAGAACATCTTTGAAATATGCACCATTAGTTATATACAGATATGTTTTTCTTCCCTGGTGTATTTCTATGGAAAATGTGGAATGCATTTTTCAGTTAAGCTAGTGTAATTGCCGAAAATCTCTCATGTTACTCTGCTGCCACATGCTTTCTAAAAGTTCAAGTCAGGCTGTAAGAGTATCCTCTTATGTGAAGCAGCGGATCAATTAGTCTTACAAGGAGGTAAAGAGCTATTGGGGGCAGACATAACAGAGATACAAATTCAGCAGGGGTGGGTGGATAACCAGAGTAGGTGCACCACTTTACTGATAAAACAGTTTTAAAACAACTGTTTCAGCTTTGTATTTAGCTGTTTGGCAGGTCCATATGCTGTTTTGGGAATTGGAGAGGTTAGCAGAATAGGCAGTGATTGTTTGTATGTAAACCAAGTGACTGGGTGGCTAACCTATAAAAGCTGGATGAAAGGCTGCCTATAGCAGTTAAGATGCCTTCTTTTTATGAGCCCCCTTGTGGATTTTATTACTTCAAGTCTGGAGGAAAACAATTTTCCATAGCAACCAGATGCTTCCCTTTTATGTATTCCTAAGAATAAGATAGTAGGAAACAATCGGACAGTTGAAACATTGCATAGGCCACTAACTGCTAGGATTGAGCAGAAACGTCCATCCCATCTGATAAACACCACTACTTCCATATGTATGTATGTGTGTGTGTGTGTATATATATATATATATGTGTTAGTATGTATATTCTATGATTTTACTTATCAGGACATAATACAAATCATCTGGTCCTTGCCAGATCTTAACATTAGGTAAATACAACGCATGACATATTGCACATATCATTATTTATATGGCAAAAACTCTCCTTGCAGTGGGGCTACCCCCTCACTTCAAGGGTTAACTGCTTGTTCTTGTCTAGGGGAGCTGTGTAGAGGGTTTTTACTTACCTGATCCCTGCTCCCCTAGCAGTCACCACTTACCTCTCTCCCCTATGCTCTGGCTTGTGGACTGTCCCTTAGTGTCCTAATGTATAATGCAGGGCTATGGACCCTGCAATGTACATGATGACATCAGCGGAGTGGAGGGGAGCTGAGGCTGTGAGCATTGGTCTTAATCAGTTAAGCCTTGCAGTGGAGGGTAGCCGCACAGCAGTGGGATTTTTGTGTTTTTTTGTTTGTTACCAGGAGATAGGATTTAATGATAGGCTTACTTTGAGGGACATATTTTGTGTATGCCAAAAGCATCACAATAACATAAGCATTTTATTTTATTCTTGCTGGAGCTCTGTATTTACATTTTCGCTTTTATATGTTGTAGTTATTATGTTGAGAAACCTTTTGTTACTCTGTATTTACATACATGATAAACGTTTGATAAATCATTACCAAAATAAATTCTGTATTTTCAGTTGGCTCTTCGAAATGAAGAAACGGATAATGAAAACAGCAAATTAAGAAGAGAGGTTGGTACATGCTAAGGCTGAAATTCATTTTATATATATATATATATATATTTAGTACAGGGTAGTATAAGTAAACATTGTGATACAGAGGAATGGTATAATGATATACATTTGTTTTAATGTTAACAACCTGTCGTATCTTAAGAACCCCCAAGGTTATTTTTTTTCTTATTTACTGATTTCCCTGTATTACAGGTAAGGTGATTTAGTTATAGAACAATTAACTGAAATGGAACTTAGACATAGACAGAAATCAACTTTCCTTTCTAGCTTGATTGCCATATACTTACCTAGTCAGGTAAGGATCATGGAGATTGATTAATAAAAGAATGGAGTATCAGTGTTTCTGATTAAAAAAAAAAATCATATTAGTTTCTGCTCAATGTTGCATACTGAAAGGTAGTAGCTTATTGTTTCTTTTTGTAAATACCCCTGATTTTTGTAAGAAATTTATAAAATCACCTGTTTTGTAGTAGTCACACGTAGGTGCCCAGATTCCCTCCTTCAGCTCCCAGGTTTTATCTGGAAGAAAGCTGAAACTGGTATCCCCAATGTTCTCAGAAAAATAATGTTCTAATTGTACCTGCGATAAAGAATTTTAGAAACAGCAGTATCTATGGAATGCTATGTTTATACACACTGAAAGCATTCTGCAGAACATAAGATAATGTACTGGTACCATTTTCAAACTACTCACTGCTCCTTCTGTCATTTTGAAAACTTTTACGATGTTGACAATAGCATTTTGTCTATTAGATTAGTCCAAATTGATTTTTTTTGTCTTTATTCTTTTGTATTCTTTTATTATTTTGTCTAACTTTCATTATGTCACTTTCCTTTCAATATTACTTATTTTTTGAAGAAAAAAATACTTAAGAAGAAGGTGAGGTATTAGGAAGTTGTGTCAAGTGCTACTTCTGAGCCTAGTAACAAATTAGATTAGGAATTACTTGTTTTTACATTTGATAATGACCCATAAATTCTGGTGAACAGAATGAACAGCTACGACAAGATGTTATAGACTACCAGAGACAGATTGACTCCCAGAGGGAATCTCTTATGTCCCGTGGAGATGGGCAAGACTACAAAACTATTATCTCGAAGAAGAACATGGAGCTTGTACATTACCTCGATGAGATACAGGTGAGCCAACTTTGGTCCTCTGCATTCACATTGACTGTCACTTCCATCTGCATCAAGCATCACGCTAACACAATGGGCAATTAATTGGTCCAGAGTGTTTAAATTGCAGATAAAAAAACAAAATAAGATTTCTACATTCTATTAGTTTGTTATTGAATAGCACTTGTGTTTCACACATCAGAGCTTGACCGAGGCCAATGAGATACTGGAAAGCCAAAACCAAGAAATCACAAAACATATGGAAGTATCTGTACAAGAAATGGAGAAGATGACAGATGAATACAGCAGAATGAAACTCATGGTACAGCATGCTGACGGTGCTATGGACCACTTGAAGAAAGAGAAGGAGCAATACAGATTTCAGGTCAGCCACAACACATTTTCTTCAGCAATAATTTACTGATTAGCGCCTGCTTTAAACTAGAGGTCAATTTATGTCAAAGAGCCAATATCGCTTTCTGCCTTACTCCTCTGAGGTACGCACATGGCAGCCCACATTTTACAGCCCATTCATAAAATGCAGGCTGTGGTGTGTAGCCAGCATTGCCCCACATAGTTCTCTGCTTGGTGCAGAAGAATGAGCTAGGTGATTGGAGAATAGCCCAGTCATGTGAATTTGACAGATTGCATGACTTAACTCTCCTCCCAGCTTTTTTTTTTAATTTTTAAAATTCTTTACATTTTATGGCACTATGGCCATGGTACGGCTATAACAATGCTTTTAAAAAGCATCCCCTTAGTGTTTTTTTAGTTCTCCACCCTTGTCGGTCATTGGGTATATATTTGCTATTTTTGTTGTTGGCAATGATACACTGTAAAACAATTACAGGATAATCCATGTAAGAAGGAGACATTTGCATGTAGATATTTCTGTGGAATTAGTCACGAAAAGGGCAGCCGTCAGCTGCTCTAATGTCACATTTTATGTAGAGTGAGTATTTTTCTCAGTGCACTCGTGTAAAATACAAAATGTTGTGTAGAGAAGCTAGTCGAAGAAGGTGTTCTGTTTTTGAAAATGATTATATATTGTGAGAATTGGCTCCAAACGGTAGTGCATTAAGGAGACTTTCACTCAGGTTTTCTTTTTAGGATTTCTTTACCCACTTTTATTGATTCAAAAGTAAAAAAAAGTCCACACAGGTTTTCCCAACGTATAGTACACGCAGTACAGGCAATGAAAACACAGATCTTCTTGGCTTTTACCTTCAGCATCTGGCCATTTGGACCCAGTGGTCCTCTAGCTTTGTCTGTTTTCTCAGACTAGTCACAACTGTTTCTCACAGTCACACAGGCTGGTCCTCACCGCACCGGTGTATTGCCACACAGGCTGTATCACACCCGCTTGCCACACAGACTGGTTCCAGGGTTGAGCCCTCCAGACCCCTGCACAGAGACCTCCTCTGTCTCCCAGGTGGAACCCTGAACTTTAACGAACATTCTCTTCATAAGGGCTCTGCGTAGGCGCACAAACACTCGGTGCTGGTCACTACTAAAGTCTGGACCCAGGAATGGAGAGTTCATCCCTCCCAATTCTCTTTGAAATCTCCCAGCCCAGCCAAATCCAGATAACCTGGGAAGAACTGCAAAGCCGGCTCTTTCCCAGTAAATGTGTGCTTTCTGGAATTGCTCAGCCCCCCTGGCTGAGAGTCCTGGGTAACTTTATTGCCAAATGACACCATGGCATTGCCACGCACTGCCACAATGTATATGTGCTCTTTATTTCTGGCATTATACATACACTGACTGTCAGGTTTAGATAATCCTGTAACAGCTTTTTTTCCCCATTTGTGGGGACAAAGGTAGTCTAAAGGCGATTTTTTTATTTTTCATTCACAATAATTTTTATTAAAGTTTTGACTGTACAAAAAAGAAACCTAATACAGAAGTAGGAAAGACAATCATATTAATGCAATATAATCAGAGATAGGTTCAAGGCACAAAATTGTCCTGTCACGGGAGGTTGCATGAACCCTGGCTGAGTTATCGGTCCACATATAAGAATGAACACTAAGCATCATTGTTCTGGTTGTTTTATTTTTCACGTATGTTTATGCTCACTATACAGCATCTGTGACACCTGTTCCCGCAGGTTCTGGAGCTAACAGAGCAGATGAAGGCTAAGAATGAAGAAGATGATCCAGTTATGATAGCAGTTAATACAAAAGTAGAAGAATGGAAGGTAAGATGTCTGTTGATTTGGAGAACAATTTGGTAAGGTATGTTTGGTTGTCAGACTATTAACATTAGCTCTCTTTTAGAGGATATTGGCATCAAAAGATGAAGAAATTGTGGCATATCAACAAATGGTTCACAACTTGAGGGAAAAACTGAAGGTTGCTCAGTTGGATGCAGACAAGAGCAGTGTTCTTGCCCTCCAACAGGTACCTTAAAAAGACATCAGTAGGTTAGGTAACCAAGATATTTATATCCACTGTTCTTTTCACTTCTTCAGTATATTTTTTACTATATGTAGGGTGTGCAGGAACGGGATAACCACATTAAGTTGCTGACTGAGCAGCTGGAGCAGTATACAAAGGAGATGGAATCTCATTCCCTACATGTTGAAACTCTGAAGCAGCAATTATTGCCAAATAAAGGTTAGTTTTGACAAGTAAATATAAATAAAGCTAAGCTTTGAAATATATGACATCTGTAAGTCCAACTGTAACTTTTATATTTGATTTTGAAATGTAATATATTGTGAGATTTTCAATCATTGTTTGTTACTAATCATGTTTTTTTATACTGGTATATACCCTCCCTTGAACTTTGAAAAATTGTGTTCCCCTCTAGCTTGTTTTGAGCTTTATCATAAGGCTTTAGCAACAAAACATGTGTTTATGGCTTGCAGGATCTCTCACCATGGCAAAAAAAGGCTGCATTGGTGGGCTTTTGTTTGCTTACAACAGGTTTTGCACTCCCCTACAAGTTTATGGAATGCAAAACCTGCTTGAAACAGGTCAAATGCACCTGTCAGTGAATTCTGAAGGATATTTGAAGCATCTTATACTGAGGTCAAACTGATGCCATCAACACAAGCTCAAAACCCATTGACACAAGCCCTTAGAAAGTACTTACAAGGGGGTGAGAATAGGGGGTGCATGATGGCAACTGAATAGCGGATTAGAAGATTATTTTATCATTTTAAAGAGCAACTCCTGCAAACAAAAAAAATAAATTTTTAATTACAAATTTTGCAACTGTGCTAATGTAAGGTCCACTCTGTTTTCCTTTCATCAGAGTTTTGAATTTCAGTTAGGTATGTATGGCTTTCAGTGCTTTATAGATTGGCATGCAGCTGCTTGTTACATAATTTTCTTTCTATTGAGTTGTGTGTATGCCAGTTTGGGGCTTAGAACCAAGAATCACTTGTCCTGTAAGCTCAGATTTTGGGCCATTCAGAAGATAAAGGTATTAGGAACTATAGGGATTTGGTAGCTAGATGCAAAAAATAAAGACCAGCATGCAAGTTATGGCCTGTGAGCATGAAGGCAGTGCCCCTGATTTTACAAGTTTGACATGAGGGAACCTTTAACTGTAAATAAGCAATGTATGTGTTATTTCTTTTTGATATAGTAAATATTAGGGATGCACCAATACCATTTTTTTAAGGCCGAGTAGGAGTACCGATACTTTTTTTCAAGTACTCGCCGATACCAATTACCGATACTTTTTCTTAAAGGGACAGTTGTATTGAATTGCTTTGCCCAACAATAGCAAAAGTGTCGGAAAGATTAGGATTGTGTTTTTTTGTTACTTGCTGTTCACTGGTATAGTTGTTTGCAGTAAACGTTGTTGATTTTTTTTTGTAAGCTAGTGGTATTGGGCACAGTTGGGAAATGATAAATATTAGTTAATGTGTGCTTTTCATGTTTTCCTCACTGTAGGAGATCCTCAGCTTTATCAATCTGAAGCGTTTCAAGCAAAACTGCAGCTCATGGATCAGAAACTCAGAGAAGCAGAACGTGTTGCAGAATTAGCAGAGAATGATGCCCGGCAAAAAGACAAAGATCTGGTTGATGCCTTGAAACGGATGAGAGACTATGAATCGGTATGACATTTTAAACATTAGTTCTTTTAAAAAAAAATATTTTAACAGTAAGTATTAGCAGATGACTTTGTGCAAATGCAGCTTTCGATCTTGATCTATATATGCTACTTTATAAGTACTGATGTGGTGCACACATTCATCTTTTACAATGCAAATTTTTTTTGCATGCATTTCATGTGTCTTTAAAGCTGAACTTCAGGATAAGGAAATATTGTCATGTGTATTCTCACTTGAAACTTTGTGTGCTTTATGCAGTTCTTCCAGATCTGTGGTGTAATCAATGTAATCCAGTGTGAAACTGATTCTGTGTAGGGGGGTACCTGTAATAAAGACCAGTAACTGCTGCTCTCTCACCTTGCAGGGTAGCTGGTCTTGTAGCCGCCCCCTCCTGTAGTTTTATGCAGGAAGCCTGTAGTGAGTGGAGCCTGCTGGGTTCCTCACAGCTTTGCTCTCTGCTCTGGCTATGTGCAGCATTTGGATGATGTCACCACTACTTTTACAAGATAGTATTTGAGTAAGTAAAGGCATTTGGTGCAAACAAAGGAGATTTCTTTTATCCATTGCGTCTATTGAGGAATAGATTTAAATGAAAATGTACCTGGAATTCAGCTCTAATGCATTTTCCAGACAGAGCACCTCATGTATTGATATACATGTGAAATACATGTATTTGCATTTTTTTTACTTCAATTTGCCTGTGCCAGTGCAATCTTGTCAAATTGTAGCAAAAAACAGGACTTTGTAAAGAAATGTGAATACTGTAATTAATTATAATAGCACAGATCTCAATATGCATTTTATGTGCAGTTTCACCTTCATTTAAGTACACCATACCTAGACAAACCGTGAAAGGGGCTTAATGCTAAAGCTGAACTACAGCGATCAAAAAAAAAAAAAATCACTACTGATTTGTTCCAAACTGTCTCTGTGTATCAGAGGCTATCTTGTTATTCCCTGACTTACTGTCTGGTAAAACAGTGTCTGCAGGACAGAAATCGACAGGAAATCTCCCTAATGGAGCACTGAATAGCAATAAAAAAAAACTGACAGGTTCTAACTTTTTTCCACTTTCTCCAAAGGTAACCAAAACGTTTTGTTTAGGGGATTTGAGACAAATAATTGAATTGAAGTGTTTATTGTAAAATAGTGTATTTACAAGTGAAAAATAACATCTCAAATTTTAGTGAAGACTTCCAGCTGGCTGAGTCACTTGAGGTTGGTCACTGGGATTGATTAAAGGAGAACTATGGGGTCAGTGTTTTTCCCCATAGTTCTCCTTAGGGTAACGGTAGGACACAAACTAGCGCCCTCCCGTTACCCTAAGCTCAGTATACTGCGAGCTACAGCTCGCGGTATAGTGAGACTCCGCAGCCGGAGCGGATCCCGACTTAGACGGCGGGACCCGCCCAGCTGCGTGAGTGACAGCTGGCTCTGCCTATCTAGAGGCAGAGCCAGCTGTACCCGACCCCTCCCCCGTCCGTTCCGCCAGTCAGCGCTGGCAGATTGGAGCGGGGAGAGGGGAATCCAGCCCCTCCCCCTGTCACGGCAGAGAGCTGTGACAGGATCGAGAGGTGAGTGAACCCAGTATGTGTTCGCTCACCTCCCGATCTACTGAGCCGACCTGTGACAGTCTCATTGTTACAGGTCGGCTAGAACTATGAGGTGAATGAAAAGCACTCACATCATAGTTCTCCTTTAACTAAAGACAAATAGGCTGTTCACTTTACAAGGGAATGTACCCCTAGCTTTCTGAATGTGGTAAAACATCACTTTGCTAAGAATATCCAATCATGTGCAAAAAGATAAACAAAATAATATGAAAAACGATTTTTGCTTCCATATGATTGGATGATGGAAGTCAGAAAAGCTTTACCTCATAAGAGCAAATCCCCTTCCAAGGTGATCAGTCTATTTGCCTTTAGAAAATACACATCACTGAGTGGTCTGATATACCAAAGTGCAGTTGCATGGAATACGATGCTAGTTAAATAACAAGTGCCATGAAACAAAACATCAAGTTATTTACCAGGATTAGCAGATACAAGGTGGGACAAAGCTAAGCTTCAGAATAGCAGGATAGCCTGGAGATCAGGGCAGGAAAGAATATTGACAACATGCTATTTGGCTCAGAAACAAGCATATAAAGTTTGCTACCAACCAAGTGCAGGTGGCTAATTATACTAAAACCAGAACTGCAGGGAGACATCGGCTGGTGTCCAATGAGAAGCAAATGCCCACAGACTTCAAAGCACAGTGCACACAGCAGATACCGCAGGTTCCTGACATAAATATGTGTTTGCGTTATTTTACGAGCTGTGATGAGCAAAGCAGCAACTAGTTCATGTGTTCACTATGGGGTAGCTCAACCTTTTGTCTATTAAAGCCTTTTTTAGTAGTATTAGTTTGAAATCAACATCGCAATACAAATGATACAAGATGTTTGCATAGTAATTTAACAACAGTTCACTCAAAAACTAGCATTTCCTAGTCTTCCCACAACAACAAACCTGAGCCAGGCAGGTGTTGCTTTTTTTCTGCATTTAGCTCTGCTACAAGCAGGACTAAATGTAGAGCAGCGGAGCCACTGCTGTTTTGTACAAGTGATCTGGGTGGCTGTGAGACTTCTTATATGGTTTTAGTTAAAATAACTTCTACTTGTCATGAGTGACAAGTAGATTGGGCCCCCACTTTAGTCCTTAGACAAGTCGTTTTGAAAAAATGGACACACCCCTGATCTTTGGGTGACCTCTCTTTAGCATTAACGCTACTCAGAATAATATAATAGGCTTAGTCTGGTTATCAACTGGCAAAAATCAAGTGCATACTTTGGCACAGAAGTTAAGGTTGCTTGTGAAAAATAGACACCCTTGACATAACCAGTCTTCTCCAGAGCTTCTGATTGTGAGGATATTGTGCGGCAGGGCAGCTCCCAGGTTGTGACCCTCCTGCACACCCATGCAGACACCTTGTACAAAAACTGATGCTTGAAGGGCGAGCAACAAGCACACTGGTCTTTTATTACAGAGGTTCAGAGCGGATTGGTAGGAAGCTAAGCACCTCGGACAGGGGGCAAAACTTGGCGCTGTATGAATGCACAGAAAACTGACACTTACTGTCACCATGTTCTTAAGGAAATCGCCTAAACTGTACCACTTATATTCCATTCCATCCAAGTTATTTTTTGCAGCATCTTTGTGTGTTGCATTCTCAGATAATCAGTTTTGAGTTGACGCTAAACTCAGGAGTTAAACCTTAAATGCATTTAAGTTCCTTAATTGTTAACAATACTGTATCTTATTTGTGCATCACTCAAATGAAATCATGCTGACCCTTCTGGACGGTGGCTTTGTTTGTTCCCCACGATCCCTGTGTGTGTTAAAAAGTAGTCACCGCTCCGAGCTTGCTCCCGTGATGGACTACAATCTCCATGTTTAGTTACTAATTTGTTTTGTGATTGTAGTCCATCACGGGAGCAACCTTGGAGTGGTGACTACTTAATACACACAGGGACCATGGAGAACAAAAGTAGCCCCTCCAGAAGGAAGGACAGTGTCAGCACCAATTCAGGATAATTTGAGTGATACACAAATACTCTACATTTGTGTTAATAGTTAAATCTTAATGCATTTAAGTTACTTAACTCCTGAGTTTAATGTCACTTTAATATACTCCTGTGCCTTTGAGTATCATACTAATCTGTCATACATTATGTATGTAATGCATGTATTTATAAATTTAGTATATATATTTTTTTGTAAATTGATCCATTTTACAATGTATGTTTCCTTAAAGGGAGTTTATGGCTTAGAAGAAGCAGTTGCTGAAATCAAAGAGCTAAAGACTCAAAATAACCTAAGGGATCGTGAAATAGAAGCACTGACTGCAGACATTAACAAACTTGAACTGAAAGTGAATGATATTCTTGATGAGAATGAAGATCTAAGGGAACGGTTAGGTGAGTAGCTTTTGCTTTTTCCAATAATAATTTTTTTATCTTGCTGGAGACCTTACTTGAGTGGTTTATACAGTATATATACACAAGAATACTTATCTGATCTTTCATTGATTAGAGAATATTTGCTGCTAAGTTGAGTTAAAGGGAAAATATGGTTCATTTCGAAATACTTTATTTCCGTTTTTATTCTGATCAGGACTAAAAATGCACTTTTAAAAATATACTGTATATCCATCTTTTTTTATTTTTTTTTATTTTCATCATCCATCTAGCAGGTGGGGCTCTAGGCTCGTTTTCTTATGTCTTCAAATTTCTAGAGAATGAGCCAGAGCAACGACTCCCATTAGGGTACCATGGGAGTACCATTAGGGTACCATTCGGTTTTAGTCCGCAACAGTAGTATCTGAAAGTAAATACCATTACCCGGGTAGTGTTTTTTTGTGTTTTTTTTAAAATAATTTTTTTAATAATGCATGTGTAATTTCATTATGTGTTTTTCTTTCAGGACTTGATCCTAAAGCTGTTATTGATTTAACTGAATTTAAAAATATTAAGACTCTCAAACAGCACCAGTACAGAGCAGAAAACCAGGTTCTTTTGAAAGAGGTGAGTTTTTGTTTTTTTCTTTTAATAACCAGTTTTATGCTATGGTATCTCACATAAGCCAAAACAGAAGTGTGAATGTTTTGAAACTATTATTATATAACAGCGGGTGTGGACAGCATGCATTGCATCTGTTAGCCCACTCATCATAAATTAAAGGTTCATTATACATGTTGTACATGGTGTGGAGGGAGTTGGGTTATGTTTGGCTTGTACTTTTTTTTCACTCGCCTTTCTCTTACATTAAAATCATATTTAAATGAGTTAATCTTTTATTGTTGTTGGTTTTTTTTTCCAACAAGAGTTGGGGCTTAGATAACTGGTGCAATACTGACTGCTGTAGCTCTATACCTTTAGTCAGGCAATACATATGATGCACCCACAGTTTTATAATGCCATTTTTCTACAAGCAATTATGAACACTTTTAGCTCATGAGCATGCTTGCTATCACTTGGATGTTAACACCCACACAGTCGGAGCATTAAAAGCGATGTCAAGCAGACCCTGTGTATGCCTGGACTAGGTACATCTAGAGTCTGTATATGTAGAATGAATAAAAACTGAGCTTCATTTTCAGCTGAGTTTGAATGAAAAGAGAGGCATGGGATCCAACATCTGGAAGGAGTTTGTGAGCTTAATTTGGTTTTACTAGCAGTAAGTGTACTTTGAAAACACTTATGATTCATAAATAAACTATCGTTGCATGTAAATCTGTAATCCTTGATGCCAATTTTAATATCCATTGTTCAACAGATTGAGCGGCTGGAAGAGGAGCGAGTTGAACTAAAGCAGCAAGTCCGCAAAATGGCTCAAGAGAAAGGAAAGAGAGCTGCTTCACTTGGTAAAAATGAGTAATGATATGTTGCATTTAAAGTGTTTACATATTTCTTATTGAAACCACCAAGAAATCTCCAGGTGATATATTATTTCTATATTAATGTGGTAAGGTCAGTCCAGCTTAGATATTTGAAAGGGTATTCCATCACCTTTTAAGAAGTTTATTTATAATCAGACCACAAATCCAGTCAGATTCGCTTGGCCTTATTCTACCATTTTCATAACTGATCTAGGCGGCTATTTTTGCAACAGTTTGCAAAAGGTGAAAATGGCTTCATTAATTAAAAAAGTGGAATAGAAGAGAGCATTAGATAAATATAATTTTAGTCTTAGAGGAAAACCATGGATATTCGGTATTAAAGTATTTATATTCATAAATAGCTCCTAATGAGGTGAGCAGTTACAGGGAAAAACAATGTTGATTATCTCGCCGTGGACCTTCATTCCCTCACCTCTCTTGTTAAGCTACATCTAGGACCCACACTATCATGCTTTCCAGCAGTATGGCTGTTATTGGTGCTCATCCTTGCAGACATAATGGCACTCTATGAACACCATTAGATGTGTCATGATAAACTTGGTCTACTGGCAGAATACATTTTTGAGAAGGACAGACCGGTCCATTTGGCACTGAGAACTAGCTTGTCACTGGCATGGGGGCTCAGAAATTTGTCTCTGGAATCAGGGAAGTCCCTGCTTCCAGTCTCCTGGAGGATCCTCATGATGAATGCCAGCCTAATGGGCTGGGAAGAACCCCTCGATGCAGGGGACTTGGACATTCTGGAGCATTGGCAATTTTGCTCTCTAGCATTGAACCATCCTGCTGGAGCATCATCCAATCCAGATTCGGTCAAACAGCGCTAATGTATTGATATTAAACCAGCTGGGAAAAGCAATAATTCTGCGTTTATAAGGTATTTAGAGTTTTTCACCATCAGTTGCGTGTCCTGGGAAAACTGGTATGCGCAAGACACCTACATACAGTATGCCCAGCTCAGTTTTAAATTCCACCTTAACCAGTTGACATCCGCGGTGTTAAACCCCTTTCCCATCCAGACCATTTTTCAGTATTCAGCGCTGCGGTACTTTGACATTTATTCCGTCATGCAACGCTGTACTGAAATTAATTTTATACCATTTTTTGGGGACAACATTTTATTTTTTACTATATTAAGGGAAAATTACCAAAAAATTGAAAAAAATGTTTCTCTCCCGTTCATTGAAGGACACAGGGCAACAGATCGTAGATCCTGTATGGTAGGGTAATATCGCCACCTGCAGGAGAAGGACGCTAGGCACAAAACTAAAGACCAATTACAGCCTAGGGGCGGCCCCTGCCGGTGGCCAAACCCCCCACCTGCTTATATTAAATGCTAAAACATAAAACACGGGGTCACGTCGGGTAAAAAGACACCAAACATGTCAAGCCTTAAAATTGCGTGCGCTCGCGAAACCTCACAAAAATGATAATACCCAAAATTGGCCACAGGCGATGCTTTAAAAGCTTTTACAGCTCATCAGTTTAGTGTTATCAGTGATTGATGGCCCTAAAATTATTGCTCTCACTGCTGAGCAGAGAAAAATGCCGTCTGGAGACTGCAACCCGCCAATGCAGCAGTGCCGTCAGTCCGTTTTTTTACAACAGGCGGACGGCAACTGGTTAAGCATGGATGCTAAGACCATTGCTTCATGTGCATATACCCAGTAGAAAAAGTACCTACAGATATTCATGTTTTAATATGATTATGAAAAATCTGGCATCACAAGTAAAAGTGTAAAAATCATAATCAAAATGACTTTCAGTTAAACAATATTTCAGGTTAAGTACTTATTGAAAATACATTGAGGGGCATTTATCAAAACTGGAGCAGACAGAATCTGGAGCAGCTGTGCATGGCAACCAATCGGCTCCTTTCTTTCACTTTCAAATCTTAAATGAACAAACTGAAAACAGAAGCTGATTGGTTACTGTTCACAGTTGGTCCAGGTTTGATCTGCTACAGTTTTAATAAGTTTCTCCCATTATACTTTGCCTGTAATATTTTTTTTACAGCGGCCATTATATTGACTCTTGAAAACTAGTTATATAAGTGAGCTGATTTAAGAGGTTACGTAAGCAGCAATTACCCACACATATTATGAGGCTAATTGTATGAAAAAATATGAAAAAGTAAATGTGTCCCCTATGTGATCAGTGCTTAGCAGGTATTACACAATAATCATGCTTTTTATAGACAACTCCGTAGAGTTGATTTTTTTTTTTTTATGCATTTCTTCATACATTCTTCATGCGCACGGAGGTGTCAGAGCGGATTTACATGTCAGGAGCCTATAGGCATAAAAAAACGGTGCCTAAAGCCCCACTCATAAACAGGCCCAAGCCATGCCCCGGTTCTGCTTATTTTTCCTCAAACACTACTACACAGTGTGCAAAATACTGACAATTTTAATGTAACAGTTGTTTTGGAGGTACCAGGGGCTGGAGCAGTTGGTAGATTTATCCATTACTGTCCACCAGCATACCTCATATAGGCCAGAGTAAATTTTACATGTTTAGCTATATGCCTTTTGATTTAAATTATAATTTTATCATGTAATAAGATTGCAGTTATTAATTTTTTACAAATATTGGGGTCGGCAGAATTTCTTATCGCAGTATTGTCTTGCAAAAAATATATTATTTTCTATTCAATCTATAGACACATATGTAACAAAACAATGTAAAATTAAATAAGCTAGACTGCACCTGAAAGCCTATTTTAAGAAAAAAAAAACCCAGCCCTGGAACGTGGTAAAATTGCGGCAAAAATGCACTGCACTGCGTTTGCAAATCTGGTCCAGACATGGTGTAAACATAGCCTTTTACAGGAGCTCTGACATTCCTTTATGAACAAGGTCTCCAGTGCATGCCTCTCTTATTTAGAAGGTGCTTTCAGTGCTCAAGCTTGTTTGCCTGTGCTCCTGCAGCATAAACCTGGAACTGACTGTCATTTTTGCCTAATGGGAACTCTTGCCGGGAAACTGTTCATCTTACCATGTATTGACAACTTTGCTTATGTTTTACTGGGCATATATTACACATTGTGCACAAGCCAATAAGGAATCTCCTGTTCAGGCCAAGTCATTTGAATATGGAAGTGGGAAAGTAATGCATACCACCTCATTAAGCTTCATGCAAAACAGCCGAATGGCAGATTTCTGTCAAATTAACATTCAAACCGGTTTTGTGGATTTATTAATATGAAACAGAGCATGTCAGACATAGGTCTTTACAGTTTTACTGAGTGAGGCCAATCTCCCTGCAGAATAGCAAAATAAAATCCATACTTTGGTCATTTATGTAATTTTAAATTTAAAACAAGGTCTTGGAATTGTTTTATATTGAAACCATTTTTGTTCATGTTCTGATTGAATTACCATGTGCTTTTCTTTACAGGGCTAACAGCTGATGACTTGTTTTTAAATGGGAGTTCCAATACGGACCCCAGTTCTAGACCGAGAGACTCCAGTTTTTTTGTCCTGGATAAAACGGGTGAAATTAGGGAAAAGGTAAGTATATACTTAAAATTTTCAAAGATCTTCCATTTTGACAGCAATTTTGATGTCAATGAAAATATTACAAATCAATAGGAGATTTACTTGAGAGGTGGTTGAGGTACGCTGTAACTTTACTTTGCAAACTACTTGCTGGTCAAAGTCTCTCAAAAGGGATCTGGTCACTTTTGCAGTTGATCCCTCAATTATAGAACAGTTGGACCAAATGGTTGTAGCTTTAACATACAGTTGTGATGGGATGTTTCCTGTCTCGTTTCCCGCATGGGTCTCCTGTCAGTACATACTCTGAAGTCACATTGGTTAAAGTGTTGGGCTGCGGGAAACTCGCCTCGAAGAAGCACTATGTCTCATTAGATCTACCCTGGATGCCATTTTCAAATTTGCTATTGGTGGAAAGAGTATCCATCTGCCTCAACCAAAAAAAGCCTAAGGCGTTAAAAAGAAACCTGGGAAGGGTTATCCCTTCATGTAGACTTTTTTGTTACTCCATTCCTGCAACCTCCATGTCCAAACCCAAGGTTGGTTCCCAGTTCACCTGCAAGTTCTGCAAATTTAAGTCCACTTAAACTCTCAGTTAATCTTCCTCAGCATGAGGGTGTGCCCCCACATTCCAAGGTAGGGGGATGTGTGTGAGCTTTTTGTGGACATTCAAATAGCCTGCATTTAAGATTCTTGTGTGCAGGAGGTGGTATTATTTCTGTGCATTGTTTCTAATTATCTATGTACAGTACTTGGCCTCTAAGCCTTTTATCTCACTGCTTATTGAACAATAGACTCGGCACTATTTATTGGTGGCCAGAGACCAAATGACTAGGTCCTAGCCCCCATTGGAGCTGGTGAGCAACAGTGTTTTATTCATGGCAAGAAAAAGGTACCCTTTGACACAAAATAATATTCTGTTTAGTAATGCTGACATGTACCTGTATTGATTCAGTATCAATAAGAAGTAAGAGTGATGGGTCCACTTAAAAAAAATTACACCATAACTAACTCTTTACAATAGATAGTATAAGCAATAAAGAGTGGACCTTACAGGCACTTAAAAAGGGAGTACCTTGGATTTAAAGGGAACCTGTACTGAAAGTCATCAGTCAGCTACTGATTCTTTGAAAATTGCTAATTCTCCACTTCAATACTTCTTCTTGAGCCATTGATCCAGAACAAGCATGCAGAAAGACAATATTTTTTTTTTAAAAGTTAAAAAATGACATCCTTTGTCTGGTGCCTTTCCCGCGACTGTAGTGTCTGGGCTTGGTTCTGGACATTGTTGTGGCCCGAGTTTTTTTCTCCATCGGGACAAACTTCTGGAACTCCGTTCCAGCGTGCGTCTCTTGCGGACGCACCGGTGGTCGTCCGTTCACTTTTGTGTGCAGGTCCTGGACCTCCTGGTGGCAGTGGGACTAGTCTTCCCTGTCCCTGGAAAGGGGGCTTTGTGGTTTTTTTGGTGGCGAGGGTCTCTCTGAGGTGGTGGCTTCGATCTCCAGCCTCGGTACGGGGGAAGTCTTCCTGCCCCTGGACTGGACAGTGGTCATCATGGTCGCCAGCCTTTGGGGGCTGGGGTGCGGTCCCGGGCTCCCAGACAGTGCAGGGTCGTTGGTCGCGAGGGGTGTCCTGTCTGTCGATTTCCGTGTTGGTACTTCGGGCGCTTCGTCTGTGTCTCCTTCATGGACGGCCCGTCTTCGGGGTCTGTCGGTTAGAGTCCAGTCAGCCAACACCACTGGGGTGGCGTACTTCAGCCTCCGGGACGACACAATGTAGCCGCATGTCGGCAGGTGGCCAGGGTCCTCTCCTGGGCGGAGAGTCTGGTTCTGGCCCTCTTGGCAGTCTACATTCCGGGGGTGGACGATTGGCTGACCGACTACCTCAGTTGCGGTCGGTGGTCCCGGGAGGTTGGTCCCTACACCCAGTGAATTTTTCTTTCATCAGCTTTGTCTTCGCTGGGGGACGCCAGACACCTGGCGTCTCAACTCCGCCGGCAGGTGGAGAAGT